ATATGACGTGACCGTCGTAAGAACAGGGAGCGGGTGGGGCCTGAAATGCGCTCGGGGTCAGGCTCGATTGCGCTGGATTTCATCGATTACAACGGATCAAACTGTCTGACACGCTCCCTCCCTAGAGAGCACCGGGTATCTAACGATACTCACCGCTCGAGCCACATCCTACCGGCAACGTTAGTCTCATGCGGCACAGCACGTATCCAGTGGCGGATTGTCAGTGTGACAACCAAGCGGAAATCATCCTGTAATACATTACTGGTGGAAATTCCTCTACCTTTGCAAACGCAAACAATTTTCACGTGAGCAACAGTATTTAAAAATTTTGCTTCTATAATCTCTTTCCCTGTCTCCTTGACTGCATCCAAAATCCCCCTTGGACAGCATAGCGCTTGGTGGGTTCAATGAATATCCAGCATTCATCGGTTGGGCCTGTATTTCTCAACAGTAGGTCTCTCGGTAGCACGCTGGAAACGACAACGTTCCAAAGCGGTCACGGAAATCTGTAGCTAGTGAATTTGCTCAAACAACTGAAGCCCTGTAGGGGTTTAGAAATTAGATATAGCTATATGTTTCGGGTCAAAGATATGAGATGAGTGCGCCTTTGATGGCGAAAAACTTGGCACTCCTAGTTGCAAGAATTGACCTAGACTTCCACTTCAAATTCCTTTAAGAACTGCATCACCGAAAATATGATCCTAGCAAGGATGGTCACAATCGAGCTTTATGCATTGCCAACAAAAGTCATCAAATCCCTACTTTCCGTTGTCGCATGCCTTCATACAACGGTTACTGCTGTATTTTCCAAGATATATTGATTAGCACATAGTCCGAGATTCCAGAAGTGAGCAAATGCGATTTGACTACAACAACTTTGAACTGTATAAGTGAACTACATTGAGATAGAAAAATTCCAGGTTGCTGAAATAAACGGATGAGCGATGAAGTTTTTGCTGTTTTTGGCTTTGGCTTGGATGTTGTGCGATTGCAGCTCAGCCCTATGCAAGGTTAGTGATAAGTTGCTGTTAGATAGACAAGGCCAACTACTGAATATCTGTGAGTTTGGAACATGCTACTATTTTGCATGGTGCGTACAAAATGTAATGTCCAGATGGTATGCGGTTGGCTACGAAAGTAAGATTTTAGTTTGTGCGCTTCAACAATGTTGGACTTACTGTTATTGATGCAAACTTATTCGATGGATGGTCTTATTCTGTAACCTTTTTTCCTTCCCATCCTATGTCCCTAGCATTATCTAAAAGTGATTGTCGCTCGAAAGAAAACTGAGGCGATAGTCGCAAGACTAGGGGCGGCGTAGTTCGCCCAGAACTCGCAACTAACAATCATCGTCTGTCCGCAGAGAACGGGTAAGCTCAACTTGAAACAAAGACCAAACTATGAGGGTCACTGAGAAGTGCTTAGAGAAGATGAACGTCGTTGAAAAGCCACTAGATTAATGGGGTCGAACACAGCCTTTGTGTACTTTCGCCGTATCGAGTCCACATGGCTAAGATGGCCGTATTTGACAAAACATGTTTTGAGAGATCCCGCAAGATATGACTGCTCTTCAGTGACTACTATCGCTGCTACAACTACGCAGTACTTCTTCTTTGAAACAGCAGTAGAGGCAAACAAAGCATAAGATGACGGAGTTTGATTTTAATAAGCACTACGCAGCATTTCTGTTTTCACAGTGTTGCTATGTAGATAGAGTTCCAAGAGCAGCTAATCTTAGTTACTGTGAGGAAGCACTACTTTGATTTTAACCGATAACGACGGTGCCTTTTTGCGGTGAAACGTTTGCCTTGTAATGCTCCAGCCTTCTAGTCAATGGCAACGAAGCCATTCGCGGACCAACCGCCTATCCTGAGATGCGTCAGCTCCTGGCCGATAGTGTCCGATGCCCAATTGACGGACCAACAGCCTACCCTGGAAAGTGTCAGTCCTTCTTTGTTAATATGACCACGAACAAAAAGTCCTCCATAGACGTGAAGTGAGCATTGCTACACTTGAGTCTCTCCACTTCCATACTATCTTGCCGCATCCCCCTAAATTGCAATTAACTTGCGCCATCAATTTCCTCTTCAGTGGCAATGAAACTAGCTGATTAGTGCAGTATAACTAGGGGTTGCCGGTCATTCAAAGACAGAGCTTCTTTTGTAAGTACTTTGTCACGTCCATTACTGGCACTTAACAAAGTCCATTTTTCCCCAACTAGAACTATTTCACTGTTTCCACTTTTCCGTTTTAAACTGCGAGTTATGTGGGCTTACAGCGAACAGATTCGCAGTTAGCTCTCATCGAAGCATCCCCGTTTAGGCTAGATTACTACCCCCACCCCAAAGTCTTTTGATGTCTTTTGATCGTCATTCATTGGAATTTCAGCTGGTCCATCATACAGCAAATAATGTCTCCCATGAGAAGGTTTTGTTTGGTCAAACTTCCACCTCTAATCTCTTCAGAGCTTTTATTTTTACAGTATTGCTCCTGAGTACGAAAAAAAAAAACATTGTTCTTGTAGTCAATCTGTTAATTACGTGAAACTCAAAATGCCCATTCATCTCCAAGAGACCATACCAGACCCTGTGATTGGTGACTGTAATTACTTGCATGGACACAGTTGCTAGCAAATGTGTAGACGATATTGGTCTTCTACATAGATACAAGGCAGTACATGTTACCATTCCCCTTTTACTCCATTCAAATCGTTTTTCAATTTATCTAATCAATAACCGAGCAGAAAACTAACGGATTCTTTCTGCTTTATTTGGTTTTCTTTTCGCAGAGAATCAAACTGATCTCACTTCCCACTTCGCAGCAGTTAGAAAGTAAACATAAACAGCGAGATTGAGTCTTATATCTAAGATAAGCGAGTTTCAATTTTGATTAGTAAAGATAGATGACTAGATATAAAGCACCTTTC